AATGCCTTGTTAGACGCGTATTTATGCGTAGTATCAGTTTGCATTCAAAAATAGTCATGGAGTTATAAGGTTTCGGACAAATGCACAAGACACCGAAATTTACCCAAAAAATACTAAAAGTTAGCCAAGCCTCTGACGAATGTACAAGACACAAAAAATACAAAACAATCAAAAATATTGCAAAAAATATTCGCTGTATGGCCAAAATGTATCTGTATCTGTATCTATATATTTATGTTTAGCTACTTATACTGCCTATATGAATTCCTGTTTTATGAGTCGATGACTTCAGGCACATCAAATTGAAATGCGCTCTGACCGCCTTTCTTTCACTGTGTTGAATAGCCCGCTCTGTTCTGACCCAAATGGGGCGATGCAAGTGGCCAACAGCTGTGACGAAGCATAGATATACATGGATATATATACACATACATAGCTAGATAGATGTATAGATAGTGGCAACAACGGATTCTACTATGGCATTAGCGTGCGAGTCGACACAACAAAGGAAATGGCTCATTGCATGTAATCAGCCAACTAAATTGTATTTCATAGATAGCGAAAGCATATTTCGCATCTGATGGTGATTTAATTCAAGTGGCAAGTGTAAGCGATGGAGAGAGAGGGGAAGACTGAGTGATCTAGTCTATGGCAATTGCCCAACAACGGACACATGTTGTCAAGCTAATAAAATAATGCTCTGTCTCTCCTCATTCTATGCCAACAATCTATTAAATGCAATTCGCAGCAGCTACTGCATCTGCATCTGCATCTGTAACTGCAATAGCATCTGCATCTGCTTTGGTTACTGGAGCTATAGCTGAATCTATATCTTTTGCGCTAAGTGTGCTGGATGTGCGCACATAATGAATCACAATCGTCGTCAGTTAAGCTCGGCTTATCATTAATCAAATTAGCTGCACCAACAACAGCAACAACAGCAACAACAACAAAGCACTTGCTGCTGCTCGATGCATGCTGCACAGTGGGTGCTCATCATCATTAATGTGAAATAAAAAGCGATTCTATTTGGGCTTCCATCAAATGGAGTGGCAAATGTACTCGGAATGTGAATTAAAGCGTAACATTAAATGATTTGAAACTGATGTAAAAGAATTGCCTGAAACTGGTTTTAGATTCGTTTCAAGTTTCAAATATTTGTTTGGTTATTAAAGTTTTTCTCTTGGTTGTTCCCAAAAGAAGTCGAGAGTACCTTAACAGTTGTAGTATTTCTTGAAGCAGTATATAGATCATGCACCAAAGATACTCAAGATAAGTTCGTATTCAGTCTTTAAACCAAAACATTTATCTAAAGAGTTTACAGCAACTGATTAGTGATATCTGATACGTGACATGTATGTATGGATGCTAAGATATCTCCCTAACAATCTTCCGACTTTAACTTCAGCATAGAGAACATCTCAGCTTTCATTCAAGAATCTTCTTGCAGGGAAATCTTTTTATCTTTTATCTCATATGCGTATAGTTTGTATTCATTTAAATAAATTTCTTTATCATTTTTAATTGTTTTTCAACCACTGTGCGCTCAGCCCACATTTATAGCAGCCGTGTGCTTGAAACTAGCTTTTTGTGTAATTTATCATATGCGTTTTCTATGCGGAGTATTCGAGTATCCAGAATCCAGAATCCGTTGCCTTTTAATACTGTCACACACACACATACACGGACAGAGACACACACTCACACACATTGTATGTCGGTCGTGTTTGCTCCTCTGCCTTTTATAATGCATTTATGGTGCAATTTGTTTGAATTAGCGCTCGGATCGTGAGCGGTTAGCGCGACTCTTGTCGCTTTATTTGGGGCGTGTGCGACGTATCTGTATCTGCATCTGTATCTCTGTGTCACTGTATCTGTACCTGTATGTGTAGCTGTATCTCCATTTGTATTTGTCTTTATATATCTGATTCTGTATTCTCTTAGCATATATGCATATGTGAGTATTATTTAGATATTTGTATCTGTATCTGGTATTGGATATATAGATGTATCTTTATATATTGGTAATTGTATCTTTAGATATTTTGTATCTGTTTCTCACTGAGTCTTTGCTCTATCTATATCCCACTACCCGTATACCCAATTTGCATTTATTACTACATTTTTATCCACATATCTGTGTCCATCTTTCTAACTGCATATGTTTGTCTACCGCTATCTTTCTTCGTATCAATCTATATGCTTATTAAAGCATATCTCACACATCTTTAACTGAACTGCATCTATTAAATCTATTATGCAAGCCAGTAAACAGTCAGTTTAAAGTAAAAGTAGCTGCCCAGCCTAACCCAGCCCAGCCCAGCCCGTTGCAGCAGTCAACAGAAAACTTCCGGGTAAGACGTTCGCTTTGTCTCGTTGTCTTGCCCAAAAGTTTTCTCACTCTTTTTCGGTTCGCATTGAATGTGACTGACTTACAGCAGTGCAGCTCTTATCTTTCTCTTATCTCACGAGCTACATGTTAATATTTGCATCGGTGGCTGTTATGGGTGTTTATTATGTTGTCGTTGTGGCTAACTGATAAGCATGACGGCAGCACACCTTCATCTCCCAAAGGTGAGATACTCGCCGATGCCTTTCAGTCTGCCAGCAGCGAACGGCTCACTCATCTGACAAAGAAATGTTTTGCTTTGATAATTGCATCTGGACTGCATTTATTATTCAATGAATCGCCTTTGTTTATTGTTATTGTTTGTTTGCATTCAGCCATTTTTCCCTCACATTCCATAGATGCCCAGACAGCAGCAACAAGTGTAGAAATTCTACTCTGGAAGTGGTTTTTTTCCTCTAGGTTTGTTTGCAAGACGATTTGATTCCTATGAAAAAGGAGAATCTGGATTTGATTTGCTTGGATTTACCACATAGAATTTTCCTTTCGTATTATTTACTCTTAAGACTTTAGTTGATTTGCTAACAAAAGCAGAAATGTGGGTCAACTGATTGTCAATGGACCAAAGTCTTTGTGTGTTCATTTGAGATCTACTTTTAGTAGCAGTTCCGTTTCCTTCTATTCTCAGAGGAAATGGATTTAATACTATGGCACTGTGTCATTTAGGCAAATATTATCTTTCCTAACTATCTTTCGCTCGGTTCAAGTATCTCTAAGTGTACTATCGCAATCGAAGTATTTAATTCAACTGCAGCTGCAATGGACCTCTGATTGCTGCCCCGGTGACTATTATGTTATATGATAAATAGATAGGTCGAAATTGATAGATATATAGTAGATTGATGATGTATATAGAAATATAAATATATATAAGATTGATATATGTATAGAAATATAACTAGAAATGTAGCAGTAAAGGTTGTTTGAAGGATTGTTTAAAATGTAGCTAGAAAATAGCTAGAAAAAAGGCTAAAAAGTCAACTCGAGATAAATTGATTGCTAAACAGATATAAACACAGATTGCTTAAGCGAGCTAAAAGATGTTTAAAAAGATCGTTGGAGAGCTAAATAAAACCTAGATAAATAGTTATAAAGCTAGTTGAAAAGTTCACTATAAATCTAGCTATAAAATAGCTAAATAGATAACTCAGCAAAAGCTATCACTAGAAAGGTTAATAGATAGATTGATTTTGTATTCGAAAGCTTCGCATAGGGAAAATTACTATATAATATCCAACTTTCATTAAGCTGCAGGCTTGAGGTCATTTATTTGTTAATTATCAGTTACTAAACAACAATAAAATGAAGATGTAGAAAGTGGGTAGATTTATCGGTTGCGTTATATGGAGTTACCTAGTTCTATTCTCAACATGCAGTTTGAATCAACTCTTATAGCTGTTAGCTATAATCAGTTGATAATTCTATGGTAAAAACTTTTGAGCAGAGGTACGAAACGAGGGTAATTACCTTAATATATAGAAAATAGATATTAAAGATTTGGTGTTGGAAATTAACCTGTTAAAAGACTTCCAATCAAATGGCATCTGGGGAAATATGGAAATACTTGCTCTGCTGGAGGTTCTAGAATATACATGATATATCATTTATGATAAGAGTATCATATATTCGGTACTCAAATTTTAGACAACCGAAGATTCTCGTTCTCATTTCATAAATACTGCCCTACCCTGCCCTACCCTGCCCTACCCTAGAGCAATGAAACTGTGCTTATTATTTGAGTAGAGGTGTAAGACTGTTTTAGACTTTCGCCACAGAAAAGATTTTAACTATATTTTACTTATATGTATACATTTATTTTGTTGTTTTTTTTTTTAACTCTCACTTAAATGTGATTAAAGAAGCGCTGTTAAAAATATGTTTAATGGTCGAAAAAGGTGCGCTAATTATGCAAATTGAGCAGCAACAGCAACAACAACAACAAGTGTTTGCCTCGAGGCGCAGCAAATGATTTGCCAGTCGAAGTAGCCAAAGCAAAAGCAGAAGCCAAAGCTGAAGCTGAGGCTGAGACTGAGTTAGAAGCGTGCCAAAGAACTGGACTCTATTGATATCGAGGTAAAGAGAGCGCAGTTAGAGCCATTCTGTTCTAACGTTTTCCTTCTTCTTCTTCTTGTTTTGTATCTGATAGATACACTCGCAGCAGTGGGTCAATTCGCTATGCTCCACTCTCGCAATCAATTTTGCCAACAGACTTTGTGGGTTTTTGTTCTTGGACTTGGCTATGCCCAACACGTAGCACGTCCCGCTATAGAGCTCTGACTCAAGCTGTTGCCATGA